AGAGGATGCAAAACTACTACCTCAGCTACCTCAAAGGATGAGGAAAACAAAAGTTAAGTTTGTCCATATCAAAAAATGTGGATGTGTCTATCCCTGGGAAACCTGTTCTTCCCAATTTTCACAGAATGGTTGAGGTCATCTTATTCAAGTCCCCTGCTCAAGCAGGGCCACCTAGAGCCAGGTACCCAGGACCAGATTCAGATGGCTTCAGGGTATCTCCAAGGATGGAGACTCCAAAACCTTTCTGGGCAATCTGTGGCAGTGCTCCATCACCCTTACTGTAAAAAAAGTGTTTCCTGATGTTCAGAGCAAGCCTCCTGTGTTTCAGTTTGTGCCCATTGTCTCTCATCCTGCCACTGGGTACCACTGAAAAGAGCCTAGGTCCATCCTGTCTTTTTTTTACACCCTCCCTTCAGATATTTTTATACATGGATGAAATCCCCCTGAGCCTTCTCTTTGCCAGGCTGAACAGTCCCCAGCTGTCTCAGCCTCTCCTCACAAGAGAGATGCTCCAGTCCATCATCTTCATGGCCCTTTGCTGAACTCTTTTCAGTAGCTCCATATCTCTCTCATACTGGGGAGCCCAGAACTGGACACACTACTCCAAGTATGGCCTCACCAGTGCTGATTAGAGGGGAAGGATCACCTCTACCCAACTGCTGGCAACACTCCTCCCAACGCAACCTGAGACACCATTAGTCTTCTTTGCCACAAGGGCACATTGCTGGCTCATGATCAACTTGGTGCCCACCAGGACCCCTAGGTCCTTTCTCTGCTGAACTCCTTTCCAGCTGGGTGGTCACCAGTATGGACAGGTGGATGGGGCTGTTCCTCCCCAGGTGCAGAACTTCACACTTCCCTTTGTGAAACTTTGTGAGGTTGAACTTTGTGAGGTTCCTGTCAGGCCATTTCTCCAGCCTATCAAGGTCCCTCAGATGGCAGCACAACCCTCTGGCACCACAGCCACTCTTCCCAGATTGGAGTCATCAGGAAACTTGCTGAGGGTATGCTCTGCCCCATCATCCAGATCAGTAACAAAGATGTTAAAGACAATGGGACCCAGTATTGAACCCTGGGGTACACCACTAGTTACTTCCCTCCAACTAGACTTGGTGCCACTGATCACCACCCTCTGGGCCCAGCCATTCAGCCAGTTTTCAGTCCATCTCAATGTCTGCTTATCCAGCCCATACATCAACAGCTTATCTGTGAGGGTTAGCTTGTCTATAGGGTTAGGGCAGAGTGAAAGAGTGTATAGAGGGTCCATGGGAGTGGTGCTGGAATTGGGCAGCCAAGGGCAAGCTGGAGTAAAGAGATCAGTGCTGAGGAGCAGGTTTTGGTATGGGCCAGAAGTGGGGGACTTAGTCCAAGCCTGAGCCAGAAATTAGGGTTAGTGGTTGCCCCACCATCCAGATCATTAATGAAGATGTTGAAAAGTACTGGACCCAGTATTGATCTCTGAAGTGCTTAATGGTCTCCACCTAGACTTTGTGCCATTTTGAAGGTATGCTTCAAAGTAAGAAAGTATGGCACAATATAATCTTCTTCAGCAGGGACATACATTCTGCTGTCCCCCTGAAAGAATACTCAAAGTAGATTTGACAAAGCTAGTAGCAATGAAGAAAAAAACCAAAACACATTTGCAAGAAATTTCACTGGCACTTTACCCCTTGAAGCATCCATCTGCACTACATTATCTTCCTTTTTGCTTCTGAATAGGACCTTTCTTCTAACAGCTCTAGGCCAGGTTTCTCCTGGGGCTACCTAAGGCAAATAATTATATGATAAAAAGTACTAGAACTGGGACCAGGAAAAAGCAAGACAGGGGAGACAAAAAAAACCCAAAAAACCAAACAGGAAGAAGAATAGCCCTTAGAAACCATGGTAAGGAAGTCTGAGAGTGGAAAGACGACTACAACATAAGAGATAGGCACTAGGACTGACTGGTAAGGAATTATAGCTGGACAAAAAGCTTGACTGATATGCAGAACAGGGCAGAAACAACAGATCTGAGAACACAGACTGTTTGTCTAGCAATGTATCCACAATAACTTATTATAATTCATTCAAAGACAAAAGGTGACGTTAAAACTATAGAGGAGTACCACAATAATCACAGTGGATTAGTACAAAGCAGCTTGTTGAATAAAAATTTTATATCATAATTTTCAGCGTTGCAAAAAACCCTGCTACTAACCACCTACATTCTTTTTGTGGTTTCCAGGTGTGGCCATCATAGCTTCCTCAAAAACTGGCTGTAGGAGACTGGAGTTTTCAGATCGCTGCATTTTTAAACTGCATTAAAAAAAATGTCAAACAGATGCTTCATTCAAGAATGAGGACATCTGAATCAGATTGACCTAAGAGGCATGAAGTTAGCTTCACAACTGATTTATTCAAAGGTCTGAAGGGATTACAATGTATAAGTAACCAAAATCTACAAACCAGGGGAATCAACATTCATGAGAAGAATATTTTCCTTTCAGGTCAACAAGAAAAGAAGAATGAAGTAGTAGATATTTGGGAAGAGAATGCACAACATGATTCCTTTTCTCCAGATGCTGACATACATATCTGAAGCATTACATCATTAAACCACCATTATCTGGCTTCCTGAATGTAGTTTCAGCTTCACATGCGTCAGAATGGTAGAAGAAATGGTAACTTCAAAATCCAACATGTTACATTTCTATTTCCTACTTTAACGTCTTAAACCGGGATACATTTGAGCCCTGAATACTCTCTCAAAATTATTTCTATTGTGATCTATATTTCATAGCCATAAGCTTAGTTTTCAGTATTCATTTGATGGCTTAATTCCAACTCTATAGGGAAACAAGCTTGCAAATTTGACATTAAAGATACATTGCTTTAATTTCAATATTCAATAACTTTACTGATATGCTTTCACTTCTTTCTGTTTTCAAAAAAAAAAAGGGTTTGAATGCTGTGTGAACAGCAACACATAGAATTACATTTAAAAATTAAGAGACCACCACAACGAATAGACCATTTTCTGCACTGAGATCTGCCCTGTGCTGCAACATGAAATGTGTTTGTGCATGGTTGTTACACAAAAGCAATCTAGTCCATGACTACAATTTTTTACAATTAGTGATATTACCAGAGGACAAAAATGGCATTGTCATTTCCCCAAAATGTCTCTAGTCTCAATATAAGAGGTAGACAGATCAAAGAAGGGTAAGAATAGAAGAAACAGTAAGACAATAAGAAAAAGTTCACACACCAGAGACACCAGCATAGCACTGCATCATGATCCTACAGTTAACTGATCTAACACCTTGCTACAATTGCAGGGAAAGTCCCCATTTCTTGGGACTGCTTCTCTCATACTGAGGCTTATCTCATGTACAGCAAGCTGAACAGATCTAAGCAGCAAAGTGGACTTTCATTTCATCATTTTACTGAAGATATTTCTCTCCACAGGAGGACAGAAGAGAACCAGTAAGTATCCATACCAGGACTGTGTGCTCACTAGTCAGAAGTAGAGGGTACAGCTGTACTGACACAGGCCTAAGTATTATCCTCAGAACACTAGCAAGCTCACCATAAGCACCTGACTCAAAGGGCTACAAAGTCTAATAAGCCAAGACAAAGATTTATAAATCCAAACATTTAACTATTAGAATCACTGATATGAGGTAGTTCATGGTCCTATGACACAATGGACTTACGCTTTTTTTTTTTAAACACTGAAGTTCCATATGCTAACCAACACTCATCCCATATATAAATAACCAGAAGAGAGGATATGAACACACATGGAGATGAAAGAGAAAAAATTATGGTTTCTGGTTGTGCCACAGCCATTGTTAATTTATTTGCAGTCAAGCAAGGTTTGGTGGCTGTTTGCTTTGTTGGGGGTGCAGGGTCAAGGAGTTGATGGGGAAGAAGGAAAGAGGTATGGACTTACATTTTAAGCAAAACAATCAGAACAGCAGAAAAAAAAACTTGGTTTTGGCTGTTTATACTCCTCTAGAAGACAGTCTGAACATTAGTTGTCATGATGCACACTGAGTATTTTGAGGAGAAGGTTAAGGTATTTAAGGAAAAGCAGTAAACTAGTTCAAAACTTTTACTGAAAAATACAGACTACTTATGCCCAAACACTATCCTTATTGTTTTCAAGTCGCCAAGGTACATTTTGTTACTTCAGGCTTGCCTGAGGTTTCTCCTCTAGAGCGTCTATTTTAGAAGAATAAACACAAGGAGTGGTTTGCAGTAGGTAGTAGCATCAGACATATCTGACACCTCAGCTACTGACCATTCAAAGTTTTCTCAACAACATGAAGCTGTATGTTCCTCATCCCAGCTTGCTTTGTCAGCAAGGAGATTTATAGCTTGCACCAATCCTTCCTACTCTAGTTTCAAAAGGAAATACGCATAGAAAATGTAATCCTTAAACTGAATGGTAATTTGTGCTCTCTTAGTACATTACTGATCTCTTTCCTGTAAAGACAATTTATTTATAATCAAGATTTGTATATATTTGGCTCATTAGACCACTGTCTTACTAAGATATGGTCCCCACATCATATCAAGACAGCATTCAAAATGTTCAATGTTTAAGAAAAAAATTCCATTACTTACTACTACTTACCTTCAATACAACAAGAGAACTTATTTTAAGGATGCTACTGCATTTAACAGTACTGAATACTCCCACATATCTTCCAGAGTTGTGGGTTTTTTTTTAAACTACTGAATGGGAATAGGAATAAAAGAACTTATAGCTCAGCACATTTTCTTTTCAGCTAAGGTATTTTACCTGCTGACATGGCTATTAAGTATTTGCCAAGAACTTGAACACTGATAAATCTGCAGAAATGAACAATAAAATTCACCCTTTAAAAGCATCTTGGACAATCAGGAAAATCATGTAAGTCACAAGGGGCAGGGGTGGGAGGAGCATTGCACACACCAAAAGCATTCTTTCTACATAGAAATAGTCACATACAGGTGGAAAGAAGAAGCATCACCTTGGTCAGCAAATGAGAAGGCTTTCCTGCAATGTTTCTCAGAAGGAGGGAGGTTTCCCTGTCCAAATAGGAGTGCTTGTGCAGAAAGAAAGAGAAAGAACACAAGTCAAAAGAAGTCAGTATAGTAATTTTATAGTGTCTTGATTGCAGAAGACAAAGTAGAGTTTAAGGAAAAAAACCTACATCATCACTTTATTTCCCTCCCATAAACACATGAGTATTCCCAAATACTATGAGCCTAACACACTAGTATAAAAGCAGTCGTGCTAACAGAGGACACTATTTTAATCTTCCCCTGTACAAAATGTCACACAATAGAATTAAAAGTTTTGCTTACCTGCTACTGGTTTCTTTTCTGCAAGAGACATCTTATTTTTAAAGACATTTAGAACTACTGAGGTAAGAAAACATGCACTTACAATGCTTTCCAAAATCCTGTCCAGTCTTCTAAAACTGAACGTTCTACTTCTGTTACACAAACCTAAAGCCACTAAAAACTGGTAATCCTGGAGACACGGAACTGGTTTCATGCTTTCTACATTGTCTGCTGCTTCCATAGTTAAAGAAAAAAAGATGTTACCACAATAATAATCCAAACCTGACTTAAAATGATTTTTTTTTTTTTTTTTAAACAAAAGGACTTAAGTGTCTCTTCTCTTGTACAGGCCAAATTATATAACCCAGGAAGTTAGAACGAAATACCTGTATTTCTCTTGAAGAGAAATTAGCAGAAAATATTTTTTAATCTGTTTAAAAAGTAGCAGCAACCAGTAGAGAAGGACTTCTCGAAAGGCAAAAAATCAGATAATGACAGTTAACAGAGTGATTCTCTTCTCCAGCATCTGCTACAGAGAACAACAAAACCATCAGCCCACAGAAATTTGCAGAACAACGTAGTCAGAAGTCTGCTAAGGAAATTAGGTTAATACTGTGGCACTTAACAGGAGCATTAAGTATATCTCCTTTGTACCACCACTGTACTGCAAATTTTGTCCCATGTGGCTGCATCTGTCTCAGCCTTATTTGTGTTGACTGGTCCAACGCTATATAGATCAAGGCATGACAACTGAGCAGCCTGCTATACTCTTGTTTAATAACTAGCAGCACAGAATCCCCACCTCTTCTTCAGACAATAAGGTATAGTATCCTGAAAAAAATGAAGATACCTTGTCTACAACTTCACACAAGGCAATATCAAGTAGTTTGGTGAATGCAGTTCCTGGGTAAGTCTACTTGATGTGACTGCCACATATGCTGGGATGAGTAATTAAGCATCTCTAACAGGCTTTAAAAGTTACAGCTCAGAAAAGATTTTAGACAGCATCTGAAGTAAAACCTAGGCTCCAGCATAAGCTCAACCTGGTACTTGGCCACTAATATAGACACATACGCTACAGACTGAAGATTTTTTTCAGCCTGCAGATTAATTACCATTTGTGTCTACATCGTATGTTTTAGAAGCACAGCATTACTGCCTAGTGACAAATTTTTCACACCTCAAGCACACGCTAATGAGAGCATTGTGATACAGGACATGATATAATTAAAAGGTCTCATGCATTGTTTACATACAGAATTCTCAGATCAGACTTCCTCACACACATAATCATATCATTTGGGACTGATGAATGAATACATTCTGCTTTTTCTACATACAGAGGATTTCCAGCAACTTCAATGATACTTATGAAAGGCTATCATTTAAAGAAAGTTCATTTACTCGGCCTGAGCAGGCTGAGGTGATGCTATCATTGCTGACAAATAATACAGCTTTGCTTAACTTGAAGGCAGACTAATCCTCTTTTCAGGTTTTCTGCTAGGTGCATTTTCACTCTGAATCTACACAGAAGCTCTAATTTCATACAGTCAGTTTAGAATGGTCTCATTACAACATACTACTCCAGAACTTCTAGAATAAATTGGTTGGCTCAATCCAAAGCTCAAAAATATACATAAAAAACTAAAGACAAGTTCAAGGAAATTCTTTTAAAGAATTTCTTGATAGAGTTCTTGTTGGACTCCAATTAATATGGATCACTTTTTCTTGATGAACGGAGCACTGCAGTAGAAAGAACATTACAATGTACCTTTGCAGCCTCTTCCTTAGTGTTTCACCACTTTCTCTCCTTAGTCTATCAGTCAACAACAGTGTCAGGGTAAAGAAGAGATACTGAATCTCTCCTTAAAGGAAATACTATTTGCTGGAGAATATTCCTCCTACAGAGAAGCTCAAGGCAGATTGTTTAACCTTCTTCCAATCACTGGTCATTTTGACTGTTGTCACCTTGCATTTAAGTACACTTCCTCCACTAAGGAACTTTTATTCTATTCAGATATGGGAATGCCACATATTTCTTACAAAATAATAACCACTGAGGTCTTTGCTAATACTGCTTTCCAGATGTGCAGCAAAATATGAAAACAGATAACCACAGGAAAGTTTTTCTGGAAATCAAGAACAATGGTATTTCATGGGAACAGGTGTTGACCAGTAAAATGAGAAATAACAGTGCGATGACAACTACCTATGTGAATTTGAGCTGGAAAGACATGTCTAGAAACAGGAAGGCAACACTTCTTTGCCAGATACCTTTTGTGCATGGCTCCTTCCTACTGCATAATACGTTCTGCAGTACTGCAGATACCCGAAAGTTACAAAGAGCAGAAATAGCAAGACAACAGGAAAGCCCAAGTTCTACGAGTTATAGCTTGACTCAACACCACCTATATGCACATAAAACTTTTTAAATATTTGATCTGCACAAACCATTATAGAAAGAAAAATAAGTTTCATTTAGAACGTGTTATTCTTTCACAATCCACAGTTTTAAAGCATTTAATCTATTTCAAAGGAAAGACTTCATCTCAAACATCAAGCTTTGATGTGAAGAGATTTTGCCCTTTAATACAGGCTCCTAGGAATATTCCATTGTTCAGGGGAAGATAAATATTTTTTCTTAAGATACTACAATCATATTGGACCACACAGAGGATCTAAATAGCCCGCTCCTCCTCTCTACTTCTGGAGTTCAAATATGTATCAAAGCCCTGACAATATAAATGCTCGATTTTTCCAAATAAATTAACCTACTTTTCTGCCCCAAGCACTTTCCCAGATTGAAAATAACACCAATGAAATACAGGAAAACAAAATCAAAACATTAATTACTCCTGGTAGACATTTCTAGTCTTCCACCATGAAAAGCATCTCTTCTCCTTCCACCTGCTCCCATCACAATAGTGAGAACTCATGCCCTGGCAACAAAGAAGTTTCTCCCATAGTGCATCGTCTTAGGCTCATTTAGGATATAAAACCAATTCCACTTACACAAAGTAGTACGCCCTGTGCCCCCCACACCACCAGTGCCTCCACAGTACAAGGCCACCATTTCTCATAACGGGTATTTTTGTTTTAAATTGTCACGCAAGCAGAACATTAAAATATCCTTGGAAGGTAAAAGTAGTTTGAAACATCATGAAAGTATCGAAATTCAACAAAAGCTTTAGAGAAGGCAAAAACATGCAGTTCTTTATACTAAGCATGAAGTTATAGAAGAGCTTGGTTATAATAGTGTTGGAAGACTATTTAGTTGCTGCATTCACTAAAATACTCAGTAAAGCTTATTCAACATGAATAACACCGAGTCAAAGACTTGATGCCTAATTAATTTACCAAATTCTTTGAAAAATCACATACTTCTAGGCCAGCACTTAAGTAAGGGTGCAAACCCAAACAGTATATAACATGTGCACAGTCCAAAGCTAGCTATAATTCTTTGCTTCTACTAGGTTTTAAAAAGCTGTATTTTTTATGTATAGGATAGCTTTCTCAATAAAATCCAGCCAGTTACAGCCATACCTTTTCATAAGTTTTTGTATAAAATGACTAATGCAAATGCAGTGCAAATGAAAAAGTTTCTCAAAGTTATTTCCACTATATGTAGAAAAAATTCATTTATTAAGCATTAGCAGATGTTAAAATTTTCTACTAAAACAGGATCTATAAAACCACTCTGAAAATAAAAAAACCCCTTAAAACCAACATGTGCTTTGATATTTTAAATGATGAGAGCCAGACTTCACTTAAGCTTCCCAGTTAACCTAACACCACTGCTGCTCAGGCAGAACTCAAAATACCATAGACTAGTGAGCAGCCAGGAAGGGAAATGTGATAGGACTTTAAAAGGATTCTGAAGAGGCAATAAGAATTTTTTTCTCCTTGTCAGGTCATCAAATTGTGTAATTTACACTTCCACAGAAACTGTTTAAGTGAAGAATCAGTTGATATAAACTGTGCTACAAGACTTTACAACAGTGACACTGGACAGACATAGCACTAGCCATGCTGGAGACTGCATCTCACTAAGTTTGTTTGTTTATAATCTTCAGAAGATACTATTCCTTCCCTAAAAAAAAAAAACAAACAACCACAACCCACAAATATGTTTGCTAAACATGGTACAACAGATGGACTACCAGGAAAATGAAAATACCTTTCAGATTTTCAGAATGTAATTAGTTGCACTATACTAAACAATAAGTAATACTCTACCTGTCCAAAAGCTCAAAATTTTCTCCCCTATTATCCTTGTCAGTTCCTTTATGAAAAGTTCAGTGGGTTGTTTTAATTATTGAGGTTCTGAGGTCTTAGGATAAAAGGCAGTTTAAAAAACAAAACAAAAAACAACCACCAAATTGAAATGATTTCTAAACTAAGACTGAATTACTGAGCATATTAAAATTATTTTTTACAGACAGTAACTGATGGGTGGATTTTAAGAAGTAAGCTCCTTTCAGAAGAGGTGATAAACTGAGCTGTATAGCTAGCTTCTGAAGGATTCTTCTTGCAACTGCGGCAGGCCATCAGTTTGCAGGTGACATGCGAAATATGTTGCCTCATTTCTTCAATTCCACTTGCATGTTTTTGCAAAATCTTGACAGTCACATTCATACTGACCACTGATCCATTTTCTTGTTACACACCTGATTATCACTTAGTACAGAAGTGGGACAAATTTAGAAAGATTCAATCTCATTGCTAGGAGACAGAGTTGTATCTAATTCCTCTAATTTTAAGGTAAGGGCTCAGAATATGTACATGCAGGGTTTAAAAACAGTACAATACAGTGTCAAAGGTGCCAAACGTGTTCGTTACACTGTCAATTTACAAATCATGAACAAAAACTAGGTGGGAAAGTGTAAGAAAGTGTAAGGAGTGTAAAAAAAAAATGATGTGGCAATCTTCTAAGGTATTTCATGATACTGTTCTAATGCCTTAAATATGTTAAATAGAAAAAAAATCCTTTCTGGTTAAATATTATCTGTAGGTTCAAAGACATCATTCACTCAAGTTATATAGAATAGAGTAACATACTTCCGTCCATCAAAAAAAAAATAAAAAATGACAAGACACTGAGGACTTGTGTACATAAATAAATATCTTGCCACATTTCTTGCAAAACTGTAACACTTGAACATTAACACACATATCTAATTAAACCAGCTGGTGGCACCCTTGTGCCACTATTTTGGATTTAATACTACACTTGAGAAACACTACAAAAATCTTTTTAAAAACTCTCCTTCTGTCCCTAAGAAACGAACTAAAATACGGAAAACTGAGTAAGCAGTGTCCAATAGAGTGCTATACGCTTGCAAAACTTTGTTGAAAAAGATAACTACTACAGTTTGCATTTCAACTACATCCACATATTGAATTCTTTAGAGTCCAGTTTAAAGAATTAGAATCCTCTATTTTCAAAAGAGAACTCAAGAATTAAAAATAGTTTAAACATAATTTTTGTAATTTTGTCCTGAAGGGGGGAAAAGATTGGAAAGGAGAACTGAATTTTTTCTTTGCAAACTCTGCTCATGGGAGGCCCTATCACTCTCTACAACTACCTGAAAGGAGGTTGTAGCGAGGTGGGTGCCAGTCTCTTTTCCCAAGTAAGCAGCAATAGGATGAGAGGAAACAGTCTCAAGTTGTGCCAGGGGAAGTTTAGATTGGATATTAGGAAAAATTTCTTCACTAAAAGGGTTGTCAAGCATTGGAACAGACTGCCCAGGGAAGTGGTTGGGTCACCATCCCTGGAGGTATTTAAAAGATGTGTAGATGTAGCACTTAGGGACATGGTCTAGTGGTGGACTTGGCAGTGTTAGGTTTACGGTTGGACTCGATGATCCTGAAGGTCTTTTCCAACCTAAATGATTCTGTTCTATGATTTTATGACTGCCAAGAGCAATCATGCTTCAGAAAAAAAGTGTATTTTAAGTAGTCTCACCCAATTAATAACTAGAAAATAGGCAATGAGCAACATACAACTAAAAAGCTTGACTGTAATTATATACATGGTTACCTTAATGCACTGTTGGGATACTATATGAATTAAACTCAAGTCACTAATGTGATTTTTCAGTAGACCACCCCCACCCCCCCCTACCAAAACCTTGCCATGCAAACCCCACACACAGGCAAACTGACACAACTATTGACATAAATAGAAGCCATATAAGCATATCATAACTTACAGCAGTCAATTCAGCTTCCTCTTCTGGAAAGTTAATAGGATGCTTGAACTGATTGATGGAATGTCCCATAGAAACAGTAAAAATAGGAAAATGGGGAAGGAAGGATGCAAAAGTGGAAGAGGGGAAAGGGAGGGAGGGAAGAGAAAGAAAGGCTTTATTATCGCTCAGAAGAGGGAAGAAAGAAGCAGTGATGACAATTAAGCAAAGGAAACAAAATTAAATTAAGAAGTTGCAGTGTCCCTCATCCAAATTTCTTATGCACAAATGATCAATGACTTGAAGACAAGAAGAGATTCAGGCTCTCTCCTATGGGAAGGGAGAAGGAGATAGGATACTGGTATGTTTTTGACCACAATAAGAGGGGAAACAGTCAATAATCTTAGATAAAAGCACTGCAGTAAAATATCTGCAGGCACACACCACACAATTTTTCTACCTCTGTTGAAACAAATCAGAAAATAAACTTGGGTAAGATTCTCTTTGCACAAACAGTTGCTCACTAAGTCAATAATTGAGAGTTAAATTCTCTAAATACTACAAACAGAAAAAACCCCATACTGTCACTTTACACAAGCTTATCTGTTTCGCATCCCAGTTCCTCCATATGAATAACTGAGGAAGTAACATAATACACTCTGGTGAACAATTACTAAGTGCATATAATAAGAATGTCCTCTTAGTAGAGATTTATCTTATTTCCAGTTGGTCATACTATTTTAGATCTCTGAGCACCCTCATAGTGTAATTTCATTTAAAAAGAAATTAAGAGGAAGTGTTTCTGTATCTCTGTAATTTTCAGTAAGGAAAGGAAAAAACCTAAATCAACCCACATCTGTGGCTCAGGACAGTGTTCATGGCAGTGACAAGCTTCTTAGTGTGAAGTTGGTAAGGGATAAAAAATTGAATATTATGCTACTAAAAAGCAGAGTGCCTAAGATTTCCACTGTGTCATCCAACGCTTGCTCCTTTTCCTTCAAAGGTATAGAAGTATTTGTTTCAGGCATGTTGATTTTGGTAACCGAACTACACAGTTAAGGTTTGACAGATGCAAAAGAGTCTACAATTTATTCTTATCAAAGCCTCAGAAAAGGAAAATAGACTTAGAAAATGAAGCAGTAACATTAGATAACAGAGCTTCCACATACAAGATGTGTTTTCAATTACTTATAAAAATTTTGCCAAACTATAACCACCAAGACAGAAATTTTCCATCATGGATTACTGTTATAGGATGATTACTAGTTATTTACATTAGACAAAGTATTTCCAAGAGAGGAAAGGAAGGTGCATCTCATTTAAAATATAGAAGTTTTTAAAGACCTCTGCATGTCTGACCAGGAAATAGATTATCGGCAGGGGCATCCTCAAAGACTTGCTTTGTGCTGTCCCACAGAAGTTACCCAAATTTGTCTGAGCATAAACCTTTAGAATTGAAACTGTAGTCCATAAAGCCTCAGTGAAGCCTGGAGCATCAAAATTAAAAAAAACTCAAGGCTGCATCCTCTCACAGAGCATTGCCCAGCCCTTCAACTGGACTGCACACTACTAGCCTTAAACAAAGGATTGGTCAAGTTTGGGAATGCTTGGGTCCAGGGCAGGAGAGTACAGCAGCCTTCTTGAAATTGCAATGCCTGGCTGCTGCAGAGCATATTGGAGCCAGACACGGGAAGTGAGAATCTGGAGCTATTACTCTGTGCTCCCAAGTGGCCAATCCTCCTCCTGGAACTCATGCAACTCCATTTCACTGCAGGCAACTGGAATTTCCTAACTCTAAGTGTTCAACTTTGCAACTTTAAAAAAAAAAATCAGGACAAAAAAAAAAATTCATTTACCGCAAGTGTTTCTTAACTACTGGGGATGCTTATAACTTCATGCTAGTTCTGACAGTTACAGTCTAAACCAACTGAAATTCATTGTAATTTAAGAAATATGTGTGTGGACATGTCAAATTGAGAAACTGCTGCACCATGTGCATAAGGTGCACTATTCGCTAGTCCACGCACACTACCTATGTCAGGTTGTGATGGTTCCCTGTCAAACACAAGTTCCTTGGGACATAGCAGGACAGAAAGGATTGCATAAGCTAGTAAACATTTCAGTTCAAGCTTAGTTTCACTACTGGTTTTAAGAAGTTTAAGACTAAACTGCCACAAGAAAGAAGCAGTCCCAACCTTCCCCCAGCCATGTGATCTCACATCTCTTGTGTGGACAGCAGTGATTTTGATCGTGTAGTCCAGTGGATCAATGAACAACTAATTCAGAAGGATTCATTTTCAGGGAGACCACAAGCTGATCCAAATCACTAGGCAGCTGCACAAACACTAGTGCCAGTACAAGATGGGGCAAAACTGCCCAATTCAGCAGTAGCATGGACCTAAATTGGCATAAACCAAACATGAAATCCCAAATAAAGTTTGTCTGCAGGGAGATGGTTTCAAGCAGTGGAGTTTTCCGAAAAGAGAAAGAAAAAAGAAAAGAAAGAAAAAAAGATGGAGTATAATTTCATGGAAAATCACATCTGATCTGTCCAAAAAGAGAATGCATTAAATGGAAGACTGAAAGAAGGAAGGAAAAAAAAATAACCCCAAACTTTAGTAAGACTAATTCATGCATAATTGCATTAGTTAAAGAATATCAGATACTTCAGGCTGCAAAGGGCTCTACCTGCAGCACAGAAAACAAGACATCAAAGCAGCTAAGAAACCTAAGGAATAAAAGTACGTGTTGGTTTAATTGGTTTTGTTTGAATCTGCTGTCTTTTACACTAAGTAGTAACTGTATTAAGTAACATTTGCTTATGTCTGTTGACTTCTAAACTATGAATCAGTCCTAAAAATATGACTGCAGACATCAAATCATCCAGAGATCGATCACTAGAAGAGAATGGGTACACACAGCTGGGGAGTTAAAAGTCACAAATTTACCTTTTCGGTGAAGAGCAGATAAGCCATATGGAAAAAATTAAACCTGCATTCAAAGAATCACACACCGGTTTGGGTTGGAAGGGACTTTAAAGATCATCTAGTTCCAACCCCTCTGCCATGGGCAGGGACATCCTCCACTAGACCAGGTCGCCCAAAGCCCCATCCAACCTGGCCTTGAACACTTCCAGGGATAGGGCATCCCCAACTTCTCTGGGCAACCTGTTCCAGTGCCTCAGCACCCTCACAAAGAAGAATTTTTTTCCTAATATCTCATCTAAAGCTACTCTCCTTCAGCTTAAAGCCATTACCCCTTGCCCTATTGTATTCATAAAGCAAACTACTTACATGGCTGGTCTAAAATCTTGAATAACTTTTATAAACATGAGACCTGTAAATGTCCAACATAGGAAACTATAACCAAGGCTGTAAATTTGGTTAACTAAAAGTGAAGACTTTTCTTTGTATTTGCAGACAACTTTTATTATACTATAACAGACTAAACACTAACCAACACGTGCAAAACTGACAAGCTCAGTTGTTTCTTCAGAACATGAAGTCTCATTTTTTTGGGTTCAAACTCCTTTGGAAACCTGGCAAACCCTAGTTTTCATCCTTGTAAGTTAGAAGTACAGGCAACTGAAAACAACTGCATAAATTCTTTTCTCCTCTTAAGAGTTTAATGTTCCACGATAGTGCTCTTAATTTTTGTCATCTGTTCCAAATTTGAGTTTTGGCAACCTGACGTAAGGACAAACAAGTAATCTGTTGCTAATTTCCTACAGATGTAATCTAATTAGATGTTGCAGAAAAAGTAAAGGAATTGGTCTTGGTTTTAAGTGGACTGGAGTATCTACAAAGAAATTGGCTGATTTAAAAACTCCATTAATTAATCACAACTTGTCGAGTGGTATCTTCACTGGAAACTGCAACCAAAGCATACAACTCCTCCCTGCAGTGCCTTTGACAAGATTTGGTAACATCATAAGGTAAGAATTCTCATTTCTCAACTCAGGTCTAGTGGCTTGGTCCAAGACGGCTTCTTCCGAAAGGCATGTTGCCTAGATTTACTTGGTCATTGATCTATGGTATTTGTCTCTTGCAGATGAATCTAGTAAGAGTTCCAATCTCTGAGCAACCATTTTCTTAGCTTGTCTGTATCAATGATACATTTTTTCTCAATAAATCCCATCATAAACACAAGTATTTTTCTAAAGTGTCATGGAATTGGCATGAAAGCAGTGAGATTTAATTTAAAATGTAGTTATTTACACAACACCCAATTCAAACTGTCTCCTACAACTGATGAAGTCTGTGATAGCAACTTCTCTAATCAAAGCATGTAAAGAGGCAGGAGGAGATGCAAAAAGGATAAAAAAGGTCACTGGACTGCAGAAAGCTTCCATCAGCAACAGCAGATGTTCTACTGTTAGCATTACTAATCAAAACAGTGCACGTACATACACACACAGAAGCCTACCATTTCAAGAGGGTACCAGCTCAGCCGACTACCACTGCCACTAGCTCACATTCTTTTCTTGCAATAGACAAGCGTCTACTGCAACTGGAAAGTGAAGGCTGAAAAACCTTGAACTGTGTGCCTTCATCTTAAAAAAGTCAGAACAGCTAGAGAATAGAAACCATCAAGTGTTTGGTATTTCCAGAAGAATGGACAAGCACACCACAGGCAAATTCTAAGTGATATAGTACAACTTCGCTGGAGAAAGTCATCTCACTAATGCCATATGCGAGGGGCTATCAGGATAGTTTCTGAAGAATCAGTTTTAACTGCAGATAAATGCATTTGGGTTAGTAAAGTTTGAGTCATTCAGTTGCTCATCCACAAAAGACTCCAACATCACAGAACAACCAGAAAGAACAGCATTTAGGCATAGACAATGCCTTTTATGGTATATTTTCTTAAGTATGAACACTATTGTAATTTTTTAGTTGATACCAGCTTTGCCAGCCAGCTGTGTCAAACAAGATATGTATCATACTGTCCATTTTCCTGTTCCTTCCAGGGAGAAAACTTCTAAGCTTATTCATCAGCGTGAGGCAAAGTTGAAAGGCAATCTCAGAAGATAAATATATTTTTACATATTTTATGGTTCCTGCTACACTTTAGTTAATGACCTCCTATGTGGAAAAAGTA